GGGGGGGTGTGTGTGGGGGTGTGTGTCACGCGTGCGCACGCACACGCGTGTGGGTGCGTGAGGCGGGTGCCCACGAACGTGTGGGGGGCACGGGCGCGATCGGTGGGTGCACGCATGTGGGTTGGAGTATGTGCACACCCATGTTGGCACGGAAACGCGGGAGGATGCGTAGAGGGAGTCCATGGGTGTGCACAGGCCTGAGAACACGCCGGGATAAACGTGTACACACGCACGTGGGAGCATGTAGGTGTGTGGCTGAGCGTGAGCACGCGTGGGGGCATCCAGGTTCACGCACATCAGCTCACGCAGGTGAACACAGGCACACGCACAGGGGAAGGCGTGCACACACGTGTGAGCACACATAGCTGGATGTGCCCGAGCGCAGGTGAATGTACACACACACGTGTGAGCACACGTGCACAGGGAGAGGAGCACAACCCCAGGTTTGGGAGCACAAGCACCAGTGTGGCGAGTGTGGGTGAACACACACATGGGGAGTGTGTCCATGTATGTGATGTGCACGTGTGAATGCCTACACATGCGTGTGTGTGCAGGCATGTGAGTACATGTGGGTGAATGTCTGTGCACGTGGGTGAGCGTGAGTGCATGGGCAGGGCCACTTGTGCAAGCCCACGCAAATGAATAACTGCAGGCACATGGGGAGGGGGACAATGCACACGTGTGTCTGTGCCCCTTGGCCCATTTGAGACTCTCCTGCCCCTCCACGCAGCTCCCACAGCTGCCAGGCAGGACCGTGGGCGCAGGGCATGGCCGGGCTGCTGGGTACCGGGCCCTTCAGTGCCTGCGCTGGATGCAGCCATGGGGCGGGGGGGCCTGGGGATCCCCATGTGGGACCCTGGGGGAGCTGCAGGCCAGCAGGCTCACGGTAAGCTGCGGGGCTCCCCGGTCTCCCAGAGGTACAGACATGACCCAGACACGCTGGGGTAGCCCCTGGCTCTGCTGGCTGTGTCTCCATCACTATAATCTCTCCATTTTACAGAACCAGGGGTGTGTACCCTCGAGGGACCAGGAGCTGGGGGAGGATGAGGATGTGGTGGGTAGCGATGCTTCAGTGAGAGCCAAGCTCCTCCTGCCAGCCCCCAGCCCCATGGGGGAAACAGGGTGTCACAAAACATGGAGGTTCAAACCCTGCAGGAGCCCCCCATGCCCCCCTGCTTGTTACAGCCCAAGGGGCAAAGCCACACACAAGGTGGGGGACAAGGGAGCCCCAGCCCCCCTGCCCCTGGGCATGGCTCCTCAGGGGGGTGGGCTGCGATTTTGGGGGATGTGGTACTCTTGTCTGGGCCTAGCTGGCTGCCAGCATGGGGGGCCCAGAGCAGCAGCTGGGCACCAGGACCCACAGTACCCAACACTGCAGGGCTGGGGACATGTGTGTGCTGTGGGGTGGAAAGTGAGGCCAGACCCTCTCTCCCTCCCAGAGGTGTGTTTGGGGGCTCACACCCATCTGTGCGCATGTGTGTGTGAGTTCCATATGCACATTCCAGAGCATATTCCTATAGAAATAAACGTTTGTGGGGGTGTCTGCATGCATGTGCACCAGGGAATCAGAAGGGTTTGGGTTGGGAGGGACCGCTGAAGACCATCTAGTCCAACCCCCCTGCCATGGGCAGGGACATCTTTCACCAGGTGGGGTTGCTCCAAGCCCCGTCCAACCTGGCCTTGAACGCTGCCAGGGAGGGGGCAGCCACAGCTGCTCTGGGCAACCTGTGCCAGTGTCTCACCACACTCACAGGGAAGGATTTCATCCTTATGTCCAACCTAACACCACTCTTTCAATTTAAAACCGTTTCCTCTTGTCCTGCTGCTACAGGCCCTGTTAAAAGTCTCTCTCTCTCTTTCTTTATATATCAAAAGGCAGCAATAAGGTCTCCCTGGAGCCTTCTCTTCTCCAGGCTGAACAACCCCAGCTCTCAGCCTTTCTTCCTAGCAGAGGGGCTCAGCCCTCGGACCATTCCTGTGGCCTCCTCAGGACCCGCTCCAACAGGTCCATGTCCTCCCGTGCTGGGGACCCCAGAGCTGGACGCAGTGCTCCGGGGGGGTCTCCCCAGAGTGGAGTAGGGGGGGACAAACTCCTCCCTGACCTGCTGGCCGCACTGATGGTGATGCACCCGGGACACCGTTGGCTTTCTGGGCTGTGAGCACACGTTGCCAGCTCATATAGTTTGCGTGTATGTGTACAAGTAAGTGTGTGGAGACATCAGTGCGTGTGCTCACCCATGCCCACACATGTGCAGATATGTGCCTGCATGGGCGTGGGCACATGTATGTGCACAGCAGCAGAGCATTTGCTTGCCCATGCCTGAGCTGTGCGTGCCGATACACGGGTGTGTGCATACATATGTGCATGGCCACGGTGTGCGTGCTTGCCCATGCCACCCATGTGCATGCCCTGGCCTGTGTAGGTGGTGCACACGTATGTGCACAGGGTTGGTGCATGTGCTCACCCATACCTGTGCACACGTATGTGCATGGATGTGGTGCGCGTGCTTTCCCATGCCTGGGGTGTGTTTGCCTGCGCATGTGTGCCTGCATTGGGCACGGCAGCCGTGCATGTGCTTACCCATGCCCATGCGGACGGTGCACACGCATGTGCGTGGCTGCGGTGCCTGTGCATGTGCGTGGTACATGCATACATGCGCATCGCTGGTGCGTGTGCTCTGCCATGCCCCTGCATGTGCCCGCCTGAGTGGTGCACACACGTGTGCATGGCGCCAGCGTGTGTTCTCGCCCACGCCCCAGCTGTGCCGGCCCGTGCGTGCGTGGGCATGTACACACGCATGTGCACGGCGCCAGCGCAACCGCTCGCCCATGCCGGGGCTGTGCACGCCCGGACGCGTGTGGCACCGTGCACACGCATGTGCACAGCAGCGCGTGTGCGCGCCCACGTCGGGGTGTGTGCGTGTGCGTGTGCGTGTGTCCACCCGTCCCCGCGTGGGCAGCGCACACGTATGCGCGCGGCGGCGGTGCATGTGCTCCCGCATCGCCCTGCGTGTCCCCGCGCGGGTGGCGCTCACGGCTGTGCGCGGCGGCGGT